CACCACTTTGGTTCAGGGCTTAGAAGCAAAACCATCGGAGAGTCTCATTGAAGGCTTTCAATCACTTCAGACCACATCTCTTGAGCCCAACACAACCCAAACGGATCTTTTAAATCTATTTAACTAATTATTCATATTATTCTTGTAATTGTGTTAACATTTAAATTATGTTTTTTTATATCTAAAAAAATGTTTAAAAACTATTTATTGAATGTATTTATTAATATATAAACATAAATAAAATTTAAAACTTCAATTTAAAGTCTTACATAAATTCTACATTATTTAGCGATTAAATGAAAAACATATTTAAAACAAAATTACAAAAAAAAAGTTATCAAAACTTTGAGTCCAAAAGTGAAGCCAATATTTGAGTGAAAATTCAAAGCAAACGCCAAAAGCATTGAAACCAATGAATGAATGCTTGGATTGAATGAAAAACATATGATTTTCAAGCGATTTGTTTTGCATTGAATTTGACGCTCAAAAGTGTTAACCATTACAGAACTGATCCACTGATCCAACGATGACAAGACACGCCCGCAATAACACCGCCGGTGCTGTGTATTCATACCACGAGCGACAACGAGACGCCGGGACTTCGGGTTATGGCACACAACGACTTCGTCTGTCCAAAGATGCCATCAAAGACTTCGACGCCTGTAATCTCACTCTTCAACCCGCGAGACATCCCGTCCTCACGTATGACAGGACATACCTTATTGTCTCCCATTATATGTCTTATTAACGTCTCATTGATTTGATCCAAAGACCCGAAGGCTTTCTCTACGACAAGGAATCGATTATTGAATACATTATTCATCAGAAGAGAGAAAACGCCCGAAAACTCAAAGAATACGAAAAACAGAAGAAGAGGGAAGAGTCGGATGCCATCGAAGCCGTCAATATTGAGCACTCCATCAAAACACTCAACTTCTTGAAGACCGAGACAACTATTGTGAACGCAGGCAATCGGAGACATGTCTTGCAATCATCCGCTCCTTCTTCGTCATCGACCGCATCGGTCGGCGAAGTGACGTCGAGTGTCGGCTCCGGTATCTCAAACATGACCAGTGGTCGAGACAAAGGTTTGCCGAGTTTTTGGGTGCCATCGATGACACCGCAGTCATCGAAGACCAAACTCAAGAAACCCGAAAATATAGTGTTGTGTCCTATGAGTGGTCGACCCCTCAAAGCGAACCAATTGATTGACATTCACTTCACGCCAACCAACGATTCCAAGGTTTTTGCCGAACTATTTCTATATCTATTCAATGATTGTATTAAAAGTGCATTTGATTTGAAGGGCAAATACAAGTGTGCGGTCACTCACGACGTCCTCCACAACTCTGTTCTCTGCGCTGTACTCAAGACATCGTTAGTTTGCATCAAATGTGTTGCAATTGTGTGTGACTTTAATATGATCTTTTAGGGGAACTGTTGTGACGATGGAATGCGTGGAGAAACTGATCCGCAAAGATATGTTGGATCCGATCAATGGACAGAAGTTGAAAGAGGAGGACATCGTTCCGTTGCAAATGGGAGGCACAGGATATGCGGCGGCCAACGACCAGCTCTTAGCCGCTGTGAAACGGCCTGTTATGATGGCATGAGTAAAAAGTATTCAACAATCAGTAAAACTACTCAAACATTCAAAAAACATAATAAAATCAATTTTATTCAAAATAATTCAATTGTAATATTAGTCCTAATCTTATGAATGATTTTACAAATATATGTTTCACATTATTTCACCGGAAAATTGTATTGTATTTATGACTTAATTGGAAAAATATTAGATTCGTTTGTCATATGATTTGCAAATAATTGGTATATTTGTTGTGTGTCTTAAAAATGAACAATGAGTGCAAAACATCACTAATAAATTACAAAAACACTTTTGTCACAATATATTGGCAATAGATATGATTTGAATGCATATTTAGGTTAGAAAGTGAATAAGTATTGGAAAAATACACAAAACGTTGAATTAGAAAATAGCTAATCATATGATATGAGTCTCATTTGGCTTTCTTCTTGCTTTTAATGCTTTGGTTGCCATCAGAGGACTCGTCGACGTAACCGCACTTCTGGAGCAGATCTCGGGCCACGTTATTGATGTGTTTGAAGCGGTCGGGGCCTAACTGTATGCCACCGAACCAACGCGACACCACTACCACCACATCCCGCACCTCCAGAATCTGCAACAGATGGAGGAGTCGAGAGCCGGCGTGACTCTCGCCGTCGTCATCACAGTCCTGAAGGCATGTATTGTGTGGTCCGCCGGAGATTCGGTAAGCGCTGATGTTATGGGTGGCGCTCTCTATCTTCTTGTTCTGCTTGAGAGCGGCCAACGCTTCCAACGCGTCGGACACCGAATGAACGGGTGATAAGTGTGCCTGAAATGTGCTGCGCCTATCGGTTAGGGGTTCGCCGTGGTATAGGGCCGGCGCTGAAGAACCACTGCAAGCGTTATTCGACGATATCGTCTGACAGTGCGATGAATGTGGATATGAATGACTATTGGATGACTGATCGCATGCATTGTTAGTGATGTAATGGTTGGTCTCTTGTGGGCTATCATCGGTTCCGTGGCATTCGTTGTCGCAGTGAGTGGTTTGGCAGCTGTTGTTGTGGTCATGGGATGGGTTGTCGTTGCCATCAGTGGACTCGTCGCCACTCAAGAACTCTCTGGCCTTCTCTATCCACAGATAAAGTATGGATTGGGATTCGTTGTCGCAGTAGATCTCCTCCAACTGTGCCATGAGTTGCATCTTGTCTTTGCGTGACATCCACGGGGCGGACAGCGTATAGAATGGCGGCTGACTTAACGGGTATTCTTCGGGCAAACGGAACTCCAGACGAATCATTCGCTCCCAATCCTGACCTCTGGTCTGACTATCGTTACAATTGGTCTCATTCTTCAACGTAATGCTGAAGACATGACTGGTCTCGTCCTCCACAACCCATTCATCGCCGTAAATGGCGGCCAAAGCCTCCATCTCATCGCTCTTCAACGTCTTGCAGTCCATGTGGTGATCACTCGAGCGCTTCCAATGTCATTGAATTGGCGGCCAATTATCTGAACAATCAAATCATATGTTATAATAAGTGATCAAAACTGGATTTGATATACAATTCAATCATTGATTACATGACTACAAAAACTGTTAATTCAATTGCAAAACATATGTCACGAGATTTTTGGACACAAATCAGAGTTTAAAACTTATTGAAAAACCAATCGATTATTGTATTGAAAATCAATGCATTCTTTCGCTAATAAATCCACAAATGTTTTCTCAGAAATGCTCTCATTATTCACAATTCATTCATACATTACGTTAACGAATGGGAGAGAGAGAGACTCTGAGAGAGAGACAAGCGTTGAATCTTTTGTTGTCATTAGATTTGAAGCCATCATTGATTGTGCGGCCCATCACTGAAGCGCTTCCCTTTCCTGTATTCATTACATCAAGAAATGGTAAGTTATTTAAC